AAGGATTTTAAGTGTATGCGGGCCGCGTGAGCGAACACTACACTTGCATAGGTCATGACGGGGCGTATGCAAGTTTTGTAGAGTGTCACCTTATTTCTAAGGGACATTTTACTTCGCCTACATATCATCGGGTAGAGACGTTCTAGAATGAAGGCGGCACGATCGCGTACCGTCTTGATGTGGGGGCGGAATGTCATCCTACTGTCGAGGGTGACGCCTAAATATTTGACCTTCGGGGCCCACGGTATGGGCTGGTCGAACATCGTGATTGGGCGAACGGCGGGGGCGGAGGTGTTGACGCGCCTAGTCGGGAGGGGGATGCTCAGCGTGGTGTTTGGAGGGCGACCCCTTTTGAAGAGCACCGCTGTGCTTTTCGTGGGGTTGATGTCGATGCGCCACTTCCGGAACCACTGTCCCATGGTGGTAGCTGCGGTCTGAAGTCGTCGATGAAGCAACGCCTTCTTCCTACACGTCTCGGAGCGCCCTGAGATACTTTTATTTATATTTAATTTGTTATCACAATGTCGCTGCACGTAAATTCAACAATTCCTGAATCGCGGTGACGAAATGTTACACAGTTGACAGACGTTCTCATATTTCTCTTATTAAGTCATACTTAGCTGGCGTAGGGATACCGTGATCATGCTCATTCAGGCGGTTTCCCTAGGATGAGGCTGCTCCATTGCACTGCTGAGTGGTTGACCCTTGCGATTGTTTTTAGAAGTTTCACTTCTACCGTGTTTGACTTGCTCACACACGTTTTTTTTTTTCTGAATGCTAATTGCTATATCAAAGAATATAGCATAGATGTGAGGATCATTATGGACAATTAAGAGAATCTTAACCGGTTATCGTTCTAGTCGAACCCGTCGGCTCGACTCGGCGAGTAAATTAACCCACAGAGACAAACCACTGATTTTCTCGCCGGATCTTCTTAGTGGGTCGCGCTTCCGATCCGGTGGTAGATTCTGCGAAGCATTGCTCTTGCTTGCTTGTTAGTGTTAGCAACGTCATCAAGTTTGAGCCCCGTGAGTTCACCTACTAGTTAGGGTTACGCTGAAATGGTCTCTCAACACCATCAGATTAGGTAGGAAAAAAAATGTAAGAGAAGAAGACAGACCGGCATTACACTGGCAATAGTAGTAGGGTGTATTATAAGCCCAACTGGATAGATATCAAAATGCCGTCTCTTACTGCTGCTTAGCAGTCATGCGTTCCAGTTTTAAGGGTAGGTGAGTATAGAACACAACTGAGACTTTAACTGGTAGATACTTAACATCAGATGGGCAGTAAACTCGTTCATTTATCTATATCTATAAAAATGAATTGCTGTTCGTTAGTCTCGCTAAAATTAGAGAGCGGCTGGACCGATTTGGCTAATTTTGTCTTGAATTATTGGTGGAAGTCCAAAGAAGGTTTAAAAGGTAGATTTAAAGGTAGAAAATGATGGGAATTAAATAAAAATAACAATTTTGTTTTCCCTTTGATGTGTCCCCGTCGGACGGATTCCTTTTGTTTGTTTTAAGTTTATTTTATACAAAAGTTTAGGTCTTTTATTTATCGATTGAGGCACTACGAAGTCTGCCGGGTCAGCTAGTCTACATTATAAAAAATAAGTTCCGCATGTTCCGCATAAACATTTAATTTTCTATCGAACCAGTCGATGTCTTATGATAATTAAAATTTTAACATTATGATATTTCAAATGTTGAATACTCAAATTCTAAGTTATAAGTTTTCACTTATAGCGACAGTCCTTGTGACCGATTTTTTTTACTGTAGCTGACAACAAACTTTACTCTTTTTGTTTGTATTAGAGGAATTAGATAAAATATTTTATGGCCAAAAGATTATGTGGCAGGGCAGCGAACGTTTTTGGCGGGATCGCGAGGCTTGTAATGTCATTGCAAAATATTATACGTATAACTACAAATGACAAGTTGTTTTATTTAAAACTAGTGACCCGCCTTCGCTTCGCTTCGGAAACATGAAATTTTATTATTGATTATTTACGACATCACATTAGAAACCTCAAAAATTACAGTATTTTTCCACTATTTAATGAATGTTATTATACATATAAACCTTCCTCTTCATTCACTCTATCTATTAAAAAAACCGCATCAAAATCCGTTGCGTAGTTTTAAAGATTTAAGCATACACAGGGACAGACAGATATAGGGACAGAGAAAGCGACTTTGTTTTATACTATGTAGTGATATAACATACTCAAGAAGACGAAAGTGCAAATTGTTGAGACGCTCGTTTTCTTAATCTTTTTGTATGGGGCTGAGACCTGGATATTGAAAGAGTCTGACAGGCGACGCATCGACGCGTTTGAGATGTGGTGCTCGCGGCGCATGTTGCGCAGCCCTTGGACGTCTTTCCGGACGAACGCATCCATCCTTACCGAGCTAAAAGTCGACCAGAGGCTATCCACCAAATGTCTATATAGACTGCTCCAATACTTTGGTCATATAGCAAGAAAACCCTCTGACAACCTAGAGCGACTCATAGTGACAGTTAAAGTGGATGGAAGACGATCCAGAGGTCGGAGCCGAAAAAGATGGAGTGACCAAGTGTCCGAGTGTCTGGACATGAGACTGAGCCACGTACTTCACGGTCCACTGATCGACAAAAGTGGCTACAAATTACAGAAAAAGGTCACAGGCGGGCGCATCGCGATGCTCAGCAATGAGAGATCGACTGAAGGAGGAGGAGGAGATATAACAGCAATTAATAAAACAAATTTAAGAATTCTTAGTCTTTTTTGTTCTAGAAATGTCAAGAACAAAAACGTATTACATAAAAAATCTTTACATGGAAATGGCAGCGATTTCAGTATTTGTCACACCGGGCAAACATTAGCGTAAGTGTGTTTAGTAACAACATTTTTATCGAGTTTTATCTATGTATGTTACAGTAACATAATGTGAAACTAAGTTATTCTTTATCGAAAATTATTCTGCAATAATATGTACCTATGTATAAATTTTTTTATATACATATTACGTATGTATGTGTTGAGAAAGACGAAAATGTTACATCTGTAATTTTATTGCTTACGTGATTTCTGGGTTGATTTGTGTCGTAACTTTTTTCAAATGGCAAAGGTGTATTAAATTCCTATTCGAGAATCGTAAGTATTAACGATTAGCTGTACCCGTCCGCTTCGCTGGGCATTTAAAATTAACATTATTATTTCGCACCCCCACAAAGATTCCCATTATGAACGCCTCCGCAACTGGTTTTTTTTTTATTATTTTTTTATTGCCCTTGCAGGCAGACGAGCATACGGCCCACCTGATGGTGAGTGGTTACCGTCGCCCATGGACTTCAGCAATGCTAGGGGCAGAGCCAAGCCGCTGCCTACCGCTTAATACTCTCCACAAGCCTCGTTTGAAGAAGGACATGTCATAGCGCTCGGGAAACACCGTGGAGGGGAGCTCATTCCATAGCCGGATGGTACGTGGCAAAAAAGACCTCTGGAAACGCACTGTGGATGACCGCAGCGGCTCCAGGTAGTATGGATGAACTCTACTCCGGTGGCGGGCGGTGCGATGGTAAAAACGAGACGCCGGTATCATTTCGAACAATTTTAGGATGTAGGGAGTCCAACACTCATATAAATATTAGCCTATCCATTAAGTACTTGTATATTCTACATGGATACCAAGTTTCAAGTCAATCGTATGCATGGTTCAGTAGTTATAACGGAACATCCGTAAAAACCACTGTAGGTTTATATATTAGTATAGAAGAAGTTCACAGGGAGTCAATCAGCGATAAAACATTTGCCGACCGCCAACTCTAACCCATCGCATCATTTATCAAACACAATTTTCATTAACATCACCGTTCCATCATACAATTAAAGAAACTAACCAGTGTGGCGGGAAGCCATCATAGAACACAAGATATTTGACAGATGCCTGAACCTCGCTTACAACATTTTCAAGATCCTCCTCCCTGCATTATATTCCTCAGTGCTGAGGGTCATGACTTTTACGGAGCACTAACTATACTAACTATACTGTAGCTTTACTGAGTCCTTAGAACTGATATCTCAAGGTGGGTGACGTATTTACGTCGTAGATGTCTATGGGCTCCAGTAACCACTTAACACCAGGTGAGCTGTGAGCTCGTCCACCCATCTAAGCAATAAAAAAAAATATAAACTTTTGTTAGGTCTATGTTTTTTTTATTGCCCTTGTAGGCAGATGAGCTTATGGCCAACCTGATGGTGAGTGGTTACCGTAGCCCATGGAGTTCAGCAATGCCAGAGGCAGAGCCAAGCCGCTGTCTACCGTTGTATGTACCGAACGTTCCTCCATTCCTTCCTGCCCTCCGCGCAGTGGATAGCGGCATTGATGCTAGAGTCCAAAGTTAAATCTGATTCTCAAGATAAGCTAGCATATATGCACGTTCCGAACAACAACATTGAGACCGTCGGTCTACAGATCAATATCCCCCGCTCGGTGGAAGATCTTTCACTTCGTCGTTAAGCCTTCCCCATTAGCATTATCATCCCCCTGCCGTGAAGGCAGGAGAGAAAGCCCGGGCAAAGGGATCTCCTGAAAGCCCCAACTATGCCCGAGGACGGGGGGACACGAAGACCCGAAAGCAACCGGAAGTTACTGGTGGTAGGACCTCTTGTGAGTCCGCACGGGTAGGTACCACCACCCTGCCTATTTCTGCCGTGAAGCAGTGATGCGTTTCGATTTTAAGGGTGGGGCATTTACGTTGTAGATGTCTATGGGTTCCAGTAACCACTTAACACCAGGTGGGCTGTGAGCTCGTCCACCCATATAAACAATAAAACTCTAAATCATGTCATCGTGGTCTCAAAGATAACAGGCCCAGTGTAATCGTATCGAGCGATGGGATTGAGTCGGTGTTCGAATCCCGCAGACAAGTAGGCACTAATTTATGCAATTAAATATGTATGTACTAACAAAAAAATTCAAAAACCATTCCAAATTGAACGAGTGAAGTCGTGTAATTAAAATTCAAAGCAGCAAAATTTGCATATTATTTTTTGCGTTGAAATTTGTGATATTATGGTGCATCGAACCCAGGAGGATAGGAAATGTTTCTATCATGAATTAGTCTTGCATTCCGGTCAGAGGTTCGATCTCATTGCCTCTTCAAGGCAATAGCCGACCTCAAGGCGGGCAGCATTTAGGTTGTAATGTCTACGGGCTTCGGTGACCACTTAACATCAGTTGATCCTTGCTCGTTACTCAATTACGTAAAAAGCAAAAAGAGATAAGGAGATAAAAAGCAAAAATAAAATAAAAACATCATATATGTAAATCAATTATTTATTATTTTAAAGTCTAGAATCTTAATTAGTTAAAATTTCCCTTGTAACGTGATATCGACGGAGGAAAGCAGAAATGTCGTAACTTACATTTTGGGGCTAATTCACTATTCCAATATCTGGTGTAAAGTTGGTTAGTTTTTCAAGTTACGACAATTACACTTCCCTCCATTGAAATGTAGTTAGAGAACCTGAGGTTTAAAAAGTAATGATTTATCAGTCAAAGATAGAAGCTCCCCCGCATCTGCAGGCAGGAAAGCAGTGGCCGATGATGAAGATCACACCAGTGGCACGGGCCCGCCCACCGAACTCTACAACACCAATGACAGGCACGTGTCCGCCTACAGTGGCGGCACCAGCGACTGGGAGCTCGCCAGCGATAGCCAGACTGCCTAGGCCAGACCCGCCGTACTTCCTAGAGCCGCCGTAGCAGACAGGCCCGTAGTCAGACCCGCCGAGGGGGGCGATACACGTGCCGATATGGTTTCCACTGTAATCCTCACGTCCCAAACACTGACCATACACAGTCTGAAATAGGGTAAATTTATTTTATTACAAAAGTAACGATGCCACACGCTTCCGCCGAAGTCGGACAAATATGGCGGTATCGAGTTCTTCTCTACAAGAGAACTAGAGTCTGGGACATTGCTTGGAACCATAAATTAAGGCTGGTGCGAAATCAATCCAAAACAGGATTTCAATCTAGTCACAGTTTAAAGCATTTGTGTCCACAGGGTGACTAATATTTCCTGGTTTTTTTATTGCTTAGATAGGTAGATAAGCTCACGGCCCGCCTGGTCTTAATTGGTTTCCGGAGCCCATAGACGTCTACAACGGAAATGCCATCACTCATATTGAGACATGAGTCCTATGTCTCAGTTTTACGCTACAACGGTTGCTCCACCCTTCAAGTCGTAACACATTACTGCTCATTGGCAGAAATAGGCGGGGTTGTGGTATCTACCAGTATGTGCCTTGTATTGTGTTTTTGATATGTTGTGCTCAAAGCTATGTGAGGTCATCTCCCCGAATGCTATTTTTATGAGCAAGATATTACAAAGCATCATATTTGGACGCATCAGTCGTCTATGAAACTCTTGTAGGCAGCCGAGCATACGGCCCACCTGATGGTGAGTGGTTACCGTCACCCATGGACCTCAGCAACGCCAGCGGCAGAGCCAAGCCGCTGCCTACAAATCTTGATCACTGTTATATATACTTCATCAAACAAGGTTAGAAACGAGCCGCCTGTGATAGGATATAATTTAATTATATCCTGGCATTACCGAGGAACTTCAACAACTTTAATTAGCCACGTTGGACCCGTGAGATTGTCCATCGATCTGTTATGCGGGATCTGGATTTTCCCTTTTTAAAAAAAACTTTTAAACCAACAAATGTGTTGTCGCGACGGAGATCGAATATGGACAGAGGCTAATGGGAATTGTAGTTTACTGCTGGCCACTAAAAAAACTGACCGAGCAGGGAAATAGGGATGTGTCAGCAGTAAAGGGTACAGGGCCGTCTTATAACAGATCGATATACATAAAAATGAATTGCTGTTCGTTAGTCTCGCTAAAACTCAGAACGGCTGGACCGATTTGGCTAATTTTGGCCTTGAATTATTTGTGGAAGTCCAGGGAAGGTTTAAAAGTTAGATAAATATAAAAATGCTCGGAATGAAATAAAAAAAAAAAAAAATGTTTTTCCTTTGATGTGTCCCCCGTCGGACGGATTCCTTTTATTTGTTTTAACTTTATTTTATGCAAAAGTTTAGGTCTTTAATTTATCGATTGAGGCGCTACGAAGTCTGCCGGGTCAGCTAGTGCTTGATAAAAATTAAAAGTTAAAACATTTGTAACTTACTTGCAACAAGACTTGGATGCAAAGGTAATAGATGATCAAATTAGACATATTTACTGCAGGACTAGATGCGTGATAGCCTCAAAGCATGCCACGATCAGTGTATTAATACATTTCCTATTTCGAATGACGAAACAATTTGCAATCAAATCGTAGTTACGATTAAAATTGCGTACTAACTTAGCAAAAACGTTTAAATAGAAATTTTTACATAAGACATTTAAAAATACGTTGCGATATTAATGTACGGTTTGTTATTGTGGCGGGTAGCCATCATACAACGCAAGATAATTGACAGATGCCTGAATCTCGCTTACGACATTTTCAAGATAAAGCGCATATATACAAGTTCCGAACAACAACATTCGGACCGTCGGTCTACCGAGCAATATCACCCGCTCGGTGGAAGATCTTCCCTTTGTCGTCTAAGCCTTCCCAAACTGGTGACCTGCGACGTGATGTGAACACGCAACCTTCTGATTCATCATCAGCGCATCAAGAACTTCGGCTACCACAATCCCCGCATTCTCGCAGATAAAAGCAATTCATACAGTCGTCCCACAGCAAGCTAGCATCGCAGCCTCAACAGGACTATCGCAGCCGACTCACCGCGCTTCCTGGTCCTACGGCACGCACCTGCACTGCCTCACCACGCAGCATTCAAGCTCAGTCTCGACTCACCGCAGACTTCGAGCAGCACTGGCGACAATCACGCAGCATTTCAAGCTCAGTTTCGACTCACCGCAAACTTTGAGCAGCACTGGCACTTGCAAGCTAATCTCAGCACGGACAACGATAACTAAAATAACGCAAGATAATTGACAGATGCCTGAATCTCGCTTACGACATTTTCAAGATAAAGCGCATATATACAAGTTCCGAACAACAACATTCGGACCGTCGGTCTACCGAGCAATGTCACCCGCTCGGTGGAAGATCTTCCCTTTGTCGTATATCTCTCCTAAACTATCATCTAAATAATCCCTGCAATTCCTATATTTTTGCTATATAAGACCACTCGTATATAGAACACAAGATACTTGACGGATGCCTGAATCTCGCTAACGACATTTTCAGGATTAGTTCGCTTATATACAAGTTCTGAATAAATAACATTCGAACCGTCGGAGTTTCTCGTCGGATCTTCTCAGCGGGTCACGTTTCCGATCCTGTGGTAGATTCTGCGAAGCACGGCTCTTGCTAGGGCCAGCGTTAGCAATACTCCGACTGGAACCCCGTGAGCTCACCTACATGTTAGGGTGAAGCTGAAATAGCCTCTCAAGGCTATCGGTAAATGAAAAAAAAAAAATCGGACCGTCGGTCTACTGAGCGAATTCAATCGCCCGATAGAAGATCTTCCTTTTGTTGTTACTCTTAAAAGAATAAAAATAAAATGGAAACCATAACAAATTCATGGTTTTTTATTTTTAATGCGTTATAGACGGCTTATCGCGCCAGTGCACAAGACTGATCTCTGATTGTAACAATTAGACGCAATATTCGATGTCCATCCGTGTCTGATAGCACTTTTTTTGTTTTATTGCTTAAATGGGTGGATGAGCTCACAGCCCACCTGGTGTTAAGTGGTTACTGGAACCCATAGACATCTACAACGTAAATACGCCACCCACCTTGAGATATAAGTTCTAAGGTCTCAGTATAGTTACAACGGCTGCGCCACCCTTCAAACCGAAACGCATTACTGCTTCACGGCACGGGGTGGTGGAGCTCCTACCACCAGTCAAGCACTAGCAGTTTTCCACGGCACTGCACAGAGCTTAAGGACTTAGATGTAGAAGAATCATCAAAATATATTATAGTCCCCGTCACGAGAAGCTATAGATTTTGTAAACGCAAATTCTGGAGTTCATAGCTTTGGCTCACGCATCTACCATGCTGAGGATTTTGATTCTAGAAATCATTGTATCTGTATTAGGACTGTATTGGTGGTAGGACCTCTTGTGAGTCCGCACGGGTAGGTACCACCCCCTTGCCTATTTCTGCCGTGAAGCAGTAATGCGTTTCGGTTTGAAGGGTGGGGCAGCCCTTTTAACTATACTGAGACCTTAGAACTTATATCTCAAGGTGGGTGGCCCATTTACGTTGTAGATGTCTATAGGCTTCAGTAACCGCTTAACACCAGGTGGGCTGTGAGCTGGTCCATCCATCTCAGCAATAAATATAAAAATAAATTTGTTATTTGTATTATTGTTTGAATTTTCGCCACCAATTAGAATCGAGCTGTGTGTGACGCTAGAAACGCGTGCGGTTGCAATTGATTAAGAATATTGTTCCCTGACCCTACTATCCAATAAAACTGTACGATTCAGATGACTCAGAATAAACACGCCAACTGGTTTTTAAAAAAAAAAATACGCATCTCTTAATTTCACTGAAATCTCAAGCCCAGAAATATTAATAGCAATTTCAAGTGCGGTATATCTATTGCCGTTACAGCTTTTATATATATATATATATTTTATATAATCGTCGTGGCCTAAAGGATAAGACGTCCGGTGGATTCGTATGTAGCGATGCATCGGTGTTCGAATCCCGCAGGCGGGTACCAATTTTTCTAATGAAATACGTACTTAACAAATTTTCACGATTGACTTCCACGGTGAAGGAATAGCATCGTGTAATAAAAATCAAAACCGCAAAATTATAATTTGCGTGATTACTTGTGGTAGGACCTCTTGTCAGTCCGCGCGGGTAGGTACCGCCACCCCGCCTATTTCTGCCGTGAAGCAGTAATGCGTTTCGGCTTGAAGGGTGGAGTAGCCGTTCTTACTATACTGAGACCTTACAACTCATTTCTCAAGGTGGGTGGCGGCATTTACGTTATAGATGTCTATGAGCTCCGGTAACTACTTAACACCAGGTGAGCTATGAACTCGTCCACCTATCTAAGCAATAAAATATAAAACAAATAAAAAAAAGCTTACAAAGTTAAACGAAAAAATTCATCAGGGCAAGCGCCATTTTCCCAAAACCTTCTAGAATGTTTTAGAATTAACTTTAGCTTTGTTGCAGAAACTTACCTAGATGTGTTTCATTAAATTCATAATCCGAAACCTGTATTTAGTTTATAAAGTAGATCCGAGAAATTTTTGTTATGCGCGAACATAATTAGCTGCACAATTGATAGCACATTCATGATTTAGATGCATTAGTAATAACTAGTGGTCCCGCAGTAGTCGAAATTCGACTATAATTAATTGAAATTATAAGTTTGTATATACACTATTACGATTCTATTGTCTAAGAGTTCTACTTCAAAGAATTCTATTTCTTCATAGATTTCGCTAAGACTACACTTTAGACAGCTGGAATCATGGTCCAGGCGGCTGGCCGATCCTTCGGCTGGTCGTAGGACCGTCGAGGCGATTCGCCCAGTCCTTGTGGATTGGGTGAATCGTGACAGAGGACGCCTCACTTTCCGGCTCACGCAGGTTCTCACTGGGCATGGTTGATTCGGTGAGTTCCTGCACCGGGTCAGAGCCGAGCCGACGGCAGAGTGCCACCATTGTGATTGCGACTTGGACACGGCAGAGCATACGCTCGTCTCCTGCCCCGCATGGGAGGGGTGGCGCCGTGTCCTCGTCGCAAAAATAGGAAACGACTTGTCGTTGCCGAGTGTTGTGGCATCGATGCTCGGCGACGACGAGTCGTGGAAGGCGATGCTCGACTTCTGCGAGTGCACCATCTCGCAGAAGGAGGCGGCGGGGCGCGTTAGAGACGCGCAAGCTCGCCGCCGTCGAGCGGGCGCCAGGGAGGCGGATCTCGCACAAGCCCTGGCCCTCTAAGTGTTTCGGGTCTCCCTCATATGTCGGTCTGGGGACCGGCGAGGGGGACCTAAGAAGACGTCGTGCAAGCTGCTCTGCACGCGTTTTACGCGAGAGCATCCGGGTGATAGAAGGCCGGCTATCCTCGACCCACGCTGGTTCTGACCCAGCGGGGTATTCCGTAGGATAGCTCACTCTAACCGGCGCCATCTAGGCGGGCTCCGGAAAGCCTGCCGACCGAGAGGGCTGGTGGTCGTGGCGCCGACGACCGCCAGTCCGGCGTCCCGAGGGGGAGGGTGATGGGAGAGATGTGCTCCGCACTAAACACTTCACTTTCCCCCTTTGCCTTTTCATGAGTTCTGTCTCATGTGAGGTTTGGACGTTGGTTGTTGAGCGACATGAGGTTTTAGTCGGTTCGACTCCGACATGCTCCGCCCGCCGTCCCCAGTGGAGGGCGGAAGTCCGGCGATTTCGTCCTGACCAAAAAAAAAAAAAACACTTTAGACAAATATTAACAAAGACAAACAATATTTAACCTATTCTCAATTTGACCACAGACTTTAAGCATTAACAAAAGTTTGACAATAAACAAAGAATGCGTGTGTGTGTATCAAATACATGGCAGTGTGTGTAATGTTTTCTTTAATAATAATAATAATAATAATTAGCCCTTTAAACTGGGTGAGATTTATCTTTGTGATTGGATCTTTTGGTTTGTTTGTTTATAAGATGTCTCTCAACTCAGTGTGCCTTCTGGCAAAGGCCTCCTCCAGTAGTCTCCATTGTTTTCTATCTTGAGCAACTCTTCTCCATTTGGGTCCGGCGGTAAGTTTCAGCTCATTTTCCCATCGCATTTGTTGACGTCCTCGACACCTCTTGCCATCTCTTGGATACCAGTTCGTTATAATTTGACTCCACTTTTCTTGTCTAGATCTCAACATATGGCCGGTCCATCTCCATTTTTGGAGGTCTATTTTTTCCAGGATGTCAGTTAGTTTTGTTTTTTCTCTTAATTGCACATTGCTAACTCTATCTTGTCTTCTTGTTCCTGTCATGCTTCGTTCCATACCTCTCTGGCACTTTCCCAGTTTTTCTCTATGGTGTTTTGTAAGGGACCATGTTTCGCAGCCGTATGTGATGCATGGGAGAATACAAGTATTGAATACTTTCCTCTTCGTTGCCATATTGTGTTCTTTAGCTTTTACAACTTCCTTAAGAGACCAGTATTTTTTCCACCCATTAGCAATCCTCTTATTTATTTCCTTGGTTGTTTGGTCTTTAGGGGAGATGATCTGACCCAAGTAGCAATATTCGTCAACATATTCTACTTTTTGTCCATCAATTTCAATGGGCCTTATTTCTGAGTTAGTCATCAATTTCGTTTTTGTTATGTTCATTTTTAACCCCACTTTGGAGCTTTCAGTATTTAGAGCTTGGATCATCTTTTCGAGTGCCTTTGGATTTTCTTCAAGCAGAACTATATCGTCCGCGAATCTTAAGTGGTTTAGTTTCCTTCCGTCTATGTTGAGGCCTAGATGTTCCCAGTCAAGGTTGCGAAAGACGTTCTCTAGCACTGCTGAAAACAACTTTGGGGACATTGGGTCTCCCTGCCTGACTCCTCGCTTGATTCGGAATTCTTTTCCCAGGGTTTCTAACTGGATTTTTGCTTTACTGTTTGCATATATATTTTTGATAATGT